TCGACTCAAACGTCTCGACCCGATGTTACATGTCAGAGCAAGACCCTCTATTCGACAGAAATAACCGAAATACTTCAACTTAGTTTTTCACGAACCAAGAGATAATCCTGTTCACCTGCACGTTACCCACGTGGAGGCAACATTCAAATAGGCAGAGTGAGTAATCACAAATCATTATACAAAATATAAAGATAAGATATATTAAGATAACATTCATCATACAAAAATAACATCATCATGAAATTCATGCATCACCATTTGCCAAGTATTATACTCACATCTTCATATCATAGTATCATATATACATCTTCGTTCATAACATCATTAAATCAACAACTCATCACCAAAGATTCACTTAAGTCACATTGTAACACCCTTTTCTACCCCACGAATATTATGGCAAAATAATATAATTTATCAGAGTAAAGTTTTAAACACCATAAAAATCACCTCAAAGGACGTACATTTCTCAATAAATTCAAATCAAGGTCAATGATCCGTAAGCAACAGGTTTTCTCAAAATTACTCAAAAGTGCTCAAATGGCAGCGGAACTCAAAAAGGCAAAAATCTAAATTTTTCCTTTTATCGCAAGGAAATCAACATAACAAAAACTCAATAAAATAGTTTGACTCAAGGAACCCAACCCGATGTTACACTATCAGAGCAAGACCCTCTAAGTCAACCACAATGGCCAACGACACAAAAACTTTAAAAGTCCTCGACGACATCCACAACTAAACCTAGTCGTCTGCATGTTACCCATGCGGAGGCAACATTCAAATAGGCAGGGTGAGTAAAACAATTCATAATAATCAATATAGGAATCAATATATAAAACAACATCATTTTCATATTCAACATCATCATAATCATCAAGGAACATCAAAGGTCACAACATTATAAATTACACCAAATTGTCACATAAATGCAAATGCAACAAGACTCATGCACGTGGTACCGATCATCACAGCTCGATGGACACTGGGCCATCAACCCTCCATAGATCCCCATCAATAGGATCGATTCTATACAAGAATCGGAGCATATCAAAATACCTCACATCCATACAATGGGACTGAAGCCAAAGAAATCAAGGTCCTGAACCGAAGTCTGGATGCACATGAATGCATGATGCACACGTCAATAATCATCCTCATAATAACATCATAGGTGCATCATCATTCATCAAAATCATCATCATCAAAATCATCATCATATATCATGTCATCATAGAATCATCAAAACTCATCATCATTACATCATAGGAATTATCATATAATCATGTAGAAATCACAATCACACTCATATTAATTCGTCAAAGAAATCACAGCATCAAAACATCAAGGCATCACTGCACAAAATCAAAATTAGCGAAACTCTGCTACGTTCGCTAGCAAGTTTGATGTGCGAGTCTGGGGCGAGTTTCTTCGTTGTGCGAACACGCGATTACAGCAAAACGCTGTTACACACCAAAACCTAAAATCAACCCAAAAGTCCAACGATTTTCTTCCCCAATGCCCCCAAAACATCCCTAAGGTCTTACAGCGATAAAGGCACAAAATCTACGACTTATTAGGCCTATCCCATATCATATTCCCGCTCTAATTCCCATAATTTCCTTATAACTACACCACAGTCATTAGAGTTTCTCACAATCTAATTACCCGACAGGGTTGAAACCTTATAGACAGATTTTGGCCGCGAGGGCCTACTTTCCCTAAAAAATTCTTCCTTAAACAAAGTCCAAGTTATTGAAATGCCAACACCTCCCAATCTCTGACGGGTGTCATCCCACCAGCCCTCAGCTTCCTCTGCTAGCATATGCGTACCAAGCTGCACCTACTGAGCATCAGTGCACGCCATAACTCAGAATATCTTCTCAATCACTCTCAGCCACTTCTGCACACCATCAGGATCATGAGTGCCCACGAAAGTCGGCGGATTGTTCCTCTAGAACTTTCCCAAAGTACGAAACTCATCTGGAGGTCCACCATTCTCGGCCATCACTTGGGCAAGTGACTCCAGCGCATCACCAATAGCACGATCATTTCTTCCAGCCATCTGCAACCACCAACAGGGTTAGAAGAAACAACTCATCCAATAGTATTCTCACACTATTGCCTGACAGGGGACTAACAACATAAAAACTTGGTCGGACGGACCGACCTGCTCTAATACCACTAATGTAACACCCTTTTCTACCCCACAAATTAAATGGCAAAATATTCACATTTATCAGAGTAAAATATTAAACTCAATAAAAATCACCTCAAAGGGCGTACATTTCCTAATAAATCAAATATATGTCAAGGCTCCATAAACAACGAGTTTTCCCAAAAGATATCAAAAATTGATCAAAAGGCATAATCCAAAGTTTTCCTTGTACGGAAACATAATCAAAATAACGACAATCAAAATAAAATATGGTTTAACTCAAAGACCCCAACCCGGTGTTACACTATCAGACCCAGACCCTCTAAGTTAACAAAAATGGCCAACAACTCAAAACTCTAAAAAGATTCTCGACAACATCCACGGCTAAACCTAGTCATCTGCACGTTACCCACGTGGAGGCAACATTCAAACAGGCAGGGTGAGTAAAACAGTTCATAATAATCAATATATGAGTTCAATATATAAAATGACGTCATTTTCATATTCAACATCATCATAATCATCAAGGAACATCAAAGGTCATAATAACATAAATTACACCAAATTATCTCATAAATGCCAATGTAACAAGACTCAGGCATGTGGTATCAATCATCACAGCTCGATGAACACTGAGCCATCAACCCTCCATAGATCCCCATCAATAGAATCGATTCTAATAGAAGAACCGGAGCACATCAAAATACCTCACATCCGTATAATGGGACTGAAGCCAAATAAATCAAGGTCCTGAACCAAAGTCCGGGTGCACATGAATGCATGATGCACACGTCAATAATCATCCTCATAATAACATCCTAGGTGCATCATCATTCATCAAAATCATCAAAATCAAAATCATCATCATATATCATGTCATCATAGAATCATCAAAACTCATCATCATTACATCATAGGAATCATCATATAATCATATACTAATCACATAAAAATCACAGTCATACTCATATTAATTCGTCAAAAAATCACAGCATCAAACATCAAGGCATCACTGTACAAAATCAGCATTCTCGAAACTCTGCTACGTTCGCTAGCAAGTTCGTTGTGCGATTCTGGGGCGAGTTTCTTCGATTTTCTTCCCCAATACCCCCAAAACATCCCTAAATCATCCCTAAGGTCTTACGGCGATAAAGACACAAAATTTACGACTTATTAGGCTCATCTCGTATCATATTCACGCTCTAATTCCCATAATTTCCTTACAACTACACTACGGTCATTAGAGTTTCTCACAATCTAATTACCACACAGGGTTGAAACCTTAACGACAGACTTTGGCCACGAGGGCCTACTTTCCCTCAAACCCAAATCGACCTCAACCTATCAGATCATCAGTTTAAATCCCTATGGTAAAAACCTCAATAATAGATTTTGGCCACGAAGGCCTAATTTCCTTTATCTCAAAATCAGTCTCAAACCCTTTAAACCCTTAAATCAGCTTTAAACACATTAAAATCACATATTGAAAATCATGAAGGCAATACTCCTCATACCTTAATTGCCGACTCTAAGCCTTTCTCCTTGATTCTTGGAAAACTCGCGAAGCTTTTACCTCAATCATTTTCCTCGGAGCTCTGGCCTCTATTTCTTCCCTTTTCACGGAATGAATCCTAATTCCCTCAAAATTTTCTTTTGTTAAACCTAACTTTGGGCCTATAAATTAGATTTTTTCAATATTACCCTCCCTAACTCCTCCTTAATTGTCCAATTTGTCCTTAGTTAACTTATATTTATTTAAATTAATAATAATACCAATATATTCATATTATATACTATTATTTAAATAAATAACCTAAAATCTATAATTCTCAATATTTCACACCAACCACCAAAAATACAAATATTTATATTTAAATAATTTAAATAAATATTTCAATAAATTTAAAGTGTTACACACAACATCACGCCATTTTAAAATCACCTCATCAATAATAACAAACATTCATATATTCCACGTAACATAAAATGAAACACCATAAAAAAAAAGTCAGACTCACTTTGTTTCAAAACCCAAATCTTAAATATTTATGTTTTAAAACCAGGATTTCTAAGTTTGATTTTATCAAACAAGGCTTTAATAGTCAAACTTACAATATGACTCATATTCCTATAATCATATGAAATTTGAAAGAATTTTTCAAATTGGAGAATCACATTACAATGTGTACTGAGATCTCCTCCCGACAATGAAATAAAATCAATTGGTGAATTTTAAAAGCAATCATCAAAGAATTTTGAAACTTGTTCAAATGTTAAGCCTATTAAACTTCAAATGTTAAGCCTATTAAACTTCAAATGTATCATTTTATTCAAATTAGCCTCATGGTTTTATTAGCAAAAGGAACCAGAGTAGTAATGTGTGGCTCTAAAGTGAGGAATAAATTCAAATGTTGTTTAAATATGATTTCATACTTAGTTGAATTTTGATTTTCATTGAGATGAACAAGTTTTCTATAATGAAGAATCTCATGAGGAAGACGTATGTCAAAGTATTTCAGTTTATATGAGAAAATATTATAAAACTATAACTGTAAAAGTCATTTTGAACCACGTCAAGAATTACAATTTGACTTGTGGATATAAGATCGATGATAATATCTATGTTAATCTATCGAATTTATTTATTAAAAATAAAACTTTCCCATCAACAAAATTCTCCACTACCAAAATTTTAATTCTAATGTAACATATGATGCTATGAATAATGAATATTATACTACAAAACAAATATATAGGTATAAACTAAAGTAAAAAGAAAAATAGAAACTGGCAAATGAATTGCTCATGCCAAGTTCTTCTAGGAGTTGTGAACAACCAAGTTCTTCTAGGAGTTAGGAACAACAGTGCCAACATATCCAAATGCCAAGATGAAGAAAGCAATGGATTGGATGTATAGGAATATGAAGAACTGATTTTTCCCATACATAACATCATATGAACCGCAAAATAAGAGGTAGAGTCCAACACAAAATTCTGACATTCCAATCCTAATATAAGCACAAAAAGAATCAAACACAATGACTATATTTTTGCTTATAATTGTTGACACCAAGTTGAATAATATTGTATACTTTATTTTACCTGTCTACAATCTTAACTTGAATATTTTTGGATACTTTACCACCACCTTTAGCCTTGAGAGTAGCTCCAAGTTTTTCAGTGACAACCCATTCGTTCACTCTACTAGCCTCTAATAGACCAATAATTGTTGCCTTTGTTCGATGCAGAGACATGGTATTCTCAAAGAGAATCCAAAATGAAACTAAATGAAATGACCTGGAAATTGAGAAACAAATTAAGTAACTTTGCTAAGTTTTTTATAAAACAAATAGTAAAGAGAAAATAGGATAAAAATAACCTTGGAGTTCCTACGGATTTTAGAAGGGTGATGACGAAAGGAATATAAACAGATCCCCATTTAGGGACAACAACTTCAGGCACCACAACAGTTGCAGGCAACACAATGCAATAGAACACAAATGTGTTGACGTGCGCCACAATCTTTCGAACAAAGAAAAAACTGTAAAGAATATATATCTTCTTCCACAAAGACACATTCTACAATGGACAAACAAACAAGTAAATTTTAAATCACTGAGATTAATTTATATGTTAATGTAAGTAAATTGTTGATTTATGAATGTTACCTTGCTTGCGAAAATCTCCATAGCGGTTTTTCTGAAGAGATTGGCAGGCCCGCATGACCATCGATGTTGTTGATATCTAAAGGCCTTTAAAGTGCTTGGCAATTCGTTTATAACCTGTTTATTATGAAAACCATACGATATAACTCTCCTGAATCACATTAAACTTTGGTAACAACAAATTTTGAGTTCAAATTAAGAAAATTTGTAACCTGTAAATTGGAAAGGTATAAGAATTTCCATCCTTTGAGACTTGCACGTACAGACAGGTCCATGTCTTCCACTGTAGTCCTATCTTTCCAGCCACCAGCTTCATTCAATGCTGAAATTCTCCATACACCTGCAGTCCCTGTACAGACAGATCCATGTTCACTAAGGATGTTGAGTTTTAATGCAATGAATAATTTCTTATCTATTTAATGATAGAAAAAAAGAGAGATTACCATTGAAGCCAAAGAAGGCATAAGCTGAAGAGCTCACTTCTTGTTCCACTTTAAAATGGTAATCAAGTGACATTTGTTGCATCCTCGTCATCAAACATTCATCGGCATTCACTAAAAACAAAGGAAAAAATAAACATCATTGACTAATTATTGCCTTATAAATTTGGTTATTTTCAAATGTGACTGGTTAAATTTCATATAATTTAATGCTAAAATGTTAGATTTGAAAGAAAGGCCTAACAAATATATCTAATATCTTAAGGTTTTTTTATTTATAAATATAATGTTTTCTTCTCTTATTATTTCATTTTCTCATACTTCACAACAAATTGAGAAGTGTTGTACTAGTGATGAGAATGTAAAAAAGGCGAGATTATAAATTTTGTAAAAGCAATCATAATTGTTTCATATGGAAAATCAAGAAAATGTAGTAATATGAATTGCTTCGTATGGAGGATCAAGAAAATGTGGTTAATTTCTTTAATTAAGTGCAAGGTATCCCTAACTTCATAGTTAGATATAGATATAATCTCATTGATCTACAAGTTTGTGAAAAAAATTATGAGATCATTGCCTTCCATATTTAACTAAAGTGAGTGTGCAATAGAAAATACCAAAGATATTGTAACCAAGAATCTGGGTGATGAGATCAACAAGAGTAAAGTCTTGTCCTCGTCATCAATCTTCAACTTAATATTCTCAAGATCATCAATAATCTTGTAAAATTCGGCCAATTGTTCTAATATGAACTTGTACCCCCACCATTTGGAATGAGAAGACTTGTTGTTTCAGACAAAAACTATGAGACAAAGACTTGGTCAGATACAATTATTCTAGTTTTTCTATATTGAAATCATTGTCTTCTCCTTGATGATTTCCCTTAGAACTTTATCTCTGATGCATAAGATAACGGAACTTTTGGCCTTATCCACCATCACATCCTTTCCTGTTTTTGTTAGTCGTGTAGACATCAATGAATCACCCATCAATGTTTCAATACACTTCCCTTGAGTTAAAATTGATTGCGTCTTTATTTTTCACCACTCAAAATCATTATCTTCGAAAGCCCTCTCGATCTGCCATTTAGAATCCATGGTGCTTACTTATAAACAAAATTCTTTTACCATATGTTGGATGCCACTTGTTGTAAAAAAATTGATAGAATAATTCAAAGCACTTCAAAAGAACAATTTAGATTTCAATCACTTCAAAAATTTGATGTGTAGAAACAAAGAACAATGACGACCAAAATAAATGACGTTCAACAAAATCAACTCTCTAAGTAATAAGACATCAACTTAACTTGGAAGAAGAAGATAAAATACAAGAAACACGATAACTTATTTACCAAGTTCGGATTCACTATATACTTCCAAAAGTTGTTACAAAAGATTACAAATGAGTTATAAGAAAATAGTCATCCAAGTTTTCATAAACAAACTCATTTTCTATAAAAGTATTTCCCAATCTTTCCAACTCTTTATATATGAACCACACAAACTCAATATATTTAGAAGTATTTCTTAACCCCCATTATATATCTCCAATTATTTCCCGAATTCCAAGAACACACTTTTAGCTTGCCTCTCTAAGATTTTCACTAAAATTCTCAAGTCCTTCTCTTTGTCTTCAACTCTCAAAATTTTGAAAGTTGTTGAGATAAGAACAATGGAGATACATATTTATAAATGTTGAAACCTAATGGACAATTAACAAACCCAAAACACAACACAAACTGATCCACAAACCAAAATAATCAAGTTCGATAAATGAAAATATTTGGACGTGATTCAATAACTAATGGACCCAAATCACCCGCCGCAATCGACTCGAATTGTCGTTGTCGACCGGTCACCGAAAATCAACCGAAGACTCCTACCTCCAGGACTTACTGGACCACCATTCGATGACACCACCATCTTCGTCGATTTCAAGAATGATTTTTAATTTCTATAATCTTAAAAATATTTTTTTTTTCTTCATGGCTTAAGGTTTTGAGAGATATTAAAATTTTAATATATTTTTCAAATCATACTTATGACATTCAAGGTTTTAAGAGTATTATCACTCAATCTTATACACCTCAACAAATTAACCTTCCATAAATGAGATATATATAAAATTGTTAGATATGGAAAGATGCGCAATTACAAAAAAAAATATGTTTCAAGATTCATTTTATGGACAAGTTGTTTCTAAAGTAGTATATATATTCTCAACAAATGTCCTACAAAGAGGTTGAATGAAGTTGTTTTTGAAAATTTCAAAGTTTTTCAAAAGAGTGGGGGTAACGTTTGAATTGATAGAAAAATTTAAAGTTTTTCAATAGTTATTCGAATTTCAATCATACAAAGAAATTTAATGTGTGAGGACAAAGAACAATAACAATAAAAATAAATGGTATTCAACAAAAACAATTCGTTGTGCAATAAGACATCAACTTAATTTGGAAAAAGAAGATAAAAGATAAGAAACATAAAAACTTTTTATCTAGTTCAATCAAATGATTTACTCTAGGAAAGAAAGCATATCTTAGATTCATCTTACTTCTAAAAATTGTTATAAAAGATTACAAATGAGTTGCAAGAAAACAATCACCCAAATTTCCAAAAACAAACCTTATTTTCTACCAAAGCATTTCTCAATATCTCCAACTATATATATATATATATATATATATATATATATATATATATATATATATATATATATATATATATATATATATATATATATATATATATATATATATATATATATATATATATATATATATATATATATATATATATATATATATATATATATATATATATATATATATATATATATATATATATATATATATATATATATATATATATATATATATATATATATATATATATATATATATATATATATATATATATATATATATATATATATGAATCTCACAAGCCTGAGGTGTTTATAAGTGTTTCTTAATCCTCTTTATATATCTCCCAGGGTTTTTTGAATTCCAAAAACATACTCTAAGAAATTTATCCTTATCTCTCTAAGATTACCATTAGGATTCTCAGACCCTTCTCTATGTCTTCATCTCTCAAAGTTTTGAAGGTTGTTAAGATAAGAATGAAGGAGATACATATTTAAAACTATTGAAATCCAACGAATACTTAACATACCCAAAATACAACACATAAATAAAGTGATCTACAAACTGAACTAACAAAGTATGATACACAAAAATTGCAAGGACCAGATCCGATATCTCCCAGAACCAAATCTCCTGTCGCAATTGGCAAGACCCAGACCATCGTTTCTATCGATCGGCCGCCACTAAAGCTCTGTCATAGATCACCGCCGCTTGAACTTGTCAGACCACTATGCAATATCACCACCTTCTTCGTCCACTTACAACTAATTTGTGATTTCTGCAATCTCCGTCCTTGATTCTTTTTGTTTATCACTTAAGGTTTTAAGGCATACTTCAACAATCTCCACCATGATTTGAAACTATATTGATGTCAATTTACCTATCAACAACCTTGTTAGTGTTTGCCAATTCAATATCTATTGAACCATTTTTATCAAGTTGAAGCCTTGCTTGAACTTTGATCTCGCCACTTTTATCCACTTGCTCCCAAAAACCTTTTTCCTTTAGTAGTATAACAAGCCCACAAGTATGGTTCTTCAACCATCTTTAACTCCCCATGTTTTTTAATGCCTCTATGAAGGTTCATGTTTCTAAGTTTTGCAATTCTTCAACCGCATTTAAAGCATAATACTCAAGACCAATATAAGCTCTCACGTATGATGGTATAATCTTCCTCATTATATTATCATGTGTCAGATGATAATCAAATACCTCTATAATCGATCCTTCACCACTACTAGTATTTATAATAGGAATCTTCACCTCAAATTAAATCTTCTCAACAATAGTTTTTATAATCCTCATCCCCATGTATTTACTTTTCTTTCCTTGACAAGTCTCATTAAAAGTAATACATCTGCAATTGATGAACTTCAACCCTCAAGGTTTCACTCCAAACAACTTATAAACCTCCCTACATATTAGATAGCCATTGAAGACAAAGTCTACAACTTTGCCATCGAGCATAATTAGCTTGATTTATACAAAAGATAAAGCTATGTCGACCTTAGAATAAAAGTAGTTTTTAGATTTCTTACTACAAACTACCATACATGTTTGAAAGTTTGTTCTTGTAAATAAATACCTATTAATCATGTAAACTATTTTGGCATCAACCTTACTCCAGAAACTAGATGATAACTTAACGATCACATGCATTTTTATCTATTGTCTTATGCAAAACCTATTATAGTGCTTTAAAACATCCTTCAGGCATCTATCATTCCTTGACCTTAAATCCCATAATTTGATCTTGTCATGAAAGTCTTCATTAGTTAATGATGAAATAACAACAACATTGGAACATTATAAATCTATATGCCACATATTTTAGACTATTTATCTATGATCACTTCACCAAGCAAAATTTTTAACACCCTATGTTCAACTGTAGGGCTATAACCTAGGTCATCAAACATGCTTATAGATAATAAACATTGCTTGAGCTTTGGAATATTGCTCATGTTGTGAAGAAGAAACTCATGATCATTAAACAGTTTAAGTATGATTGTACCAATACCATGAACCTTGCAAGTTTTATTGCACTAAGAATAACTACTCTACCTTGCTCCATCTTCAAAGTCTCAAAGTACTATTTTCTTAGACACATGTGATAAGAGCAACCTAAGTCTATAACCTAACTCTCTTTAGTATCCAAACTCGAAAAACTAGTGCATCTAACCCTTTCATAATTATCCTTATCGGAGGCAACTCCATTCTAATAGAATCATCATTCCACCTCTTCTTGGGATAATCTCCTATGAAGTGAGTGGTTTTCTGACAAGTAAATCATTTAAACCTTTATCTTTAAATTCTCTTTGATTTTTACATCCATATATACTCATTTTATTCTCTTGAGATACTGAAGCTTACACTACAATTGTCATTCATTAAATCTTTTACCTTCGAAAATTATTTGGATCTCATAGTTGTATGGACTTTAACCAATGTAATAATACATTCCTTACCATAAATAATAACATTTTAAAGTATCAAAAGTATCTGGGTATTAAGCTTAACAAGAGTAGAGCATTGTCCTTATCATTAACCTTCAACTCAATATTCTCAAGATCTTGAATAATCTTGTAAATTTCAGTGAACTAATCCACTATGGATTTGTTCTCTACCATTCAGAATGAGAAGAATTGTTGTTTTCATACACAATCTGTAAGACAAAGATATTAACATATACAATGATTAATTTTTTCCCATATTGAAGCCTTAGTATTCTTCTTGGATACTTCCCTTTGAGTTGTATTCATGAGGCACAAGATAAGGGAACTTCTAGCCTTATCCACCATCTCGATCTTCTCTACTTATGTTAGGCGTGCATGCATCGATGCCTTAGCCTTTAATTCTTCAATACACTTCTCATAAGTTAAAATTGCTAGCATCTTCACTTTCAACAATCCAAAATCATTGTCTATGGAAAACATCTTGATCTTCCATTTATAACTCATGGTGTTCACTTGTAAACAAAGTCTCTTTGCCCTATGCTGGACGCCACTTGTTGTGAAAAATTGATAGAATAACTCAAAGAAATTCTAAAAAATTATTTAGATTTCAATCACACCATAAAAAAATTGTGCAAAGAAAAAGAAAAATGACAATCAATATAAATGAATTTTAGTAAAAATAACTCTCGGTACTATTGAGAAACAAGTGTGAGTTGTGTAAGTCCCACATTGTTTGGAAAAATGGAGATTAAGTACTTTATAAGGGAGAGGACACATACATCCATGCCCTTAAGGATTTTTGATTGATATATGGCGTCTCTCTCACTTGTTTGGGTGAGTCTTTGACCTTTAGGTGAATGTTGGACCCAATATGGATGTTGCCCCCTCTTGATAACCCATCAGTAGTATCAGTATTGATGGTTCGAGTAAGGGACTAACTCCTTGTATCAAAAGTCTTCCTGATATTCTAGTAGTCAAGCAACGTGTTCTATTGAAATGCCCATGACGTAGTTAGGTGTCTGTCAACGGTGGTATAAATATGTGAATAAAAGAGCTTCTGCTTGAGGTGAATCATAGTGGATGGACTCACACTTGATGGGAGATTGCTGAGAAACAAATGTGAGTTATGTAAGTCCACATTGTTTGAAAAATGGAAGTTGAGCACTTTATAAGTGAGATAACCCATACACTCATTGTCTTAAGTTTTTAGGTGAATATGTGATGTCTCTCTCACTTGTTTGGGTGAGTATCTGACCTTTAGGTGAGTGTTTGACCCAATGTGAATGCCTCCCCATCATGATGACCCATCAATGATATTAGAGCCGATGATTCGAGTAAGGGACTGACTGCTTGTTTCAAAAGTCTTCCTGACATTGTTGTGGTCAGGTGATCTGTCCCGCTGAAGTGTTCGTGACGTGGTAAAGGTTTTTGTCAACGACTATACAAGTATGTTGATAAAAGAGTTTTTTCTTGAGAGCGAATCATAGCGGATGGACTCAAACTTGAGGGGAGATTGTTGATAAACATGTATGAGTTGTGTAAGTCCCGCATTACTTGGAAAAATGGAGGTTGAACATTTTATAAGTGAGAGGACTCATACACCCATTTCTTTAAGGTTTTGGGTGAATATGTGGTTTCTCTCTCACTTGTTTGGGTGAGTATTTGACCTTTAGATGAGTGTTTGATCCAATGTGAATGCTCCCCCCTCATGATGGCTGATCATGTACAATAAGACATCAACTTAACTTGGTAGAAGAAGATTAATGACAAGAAACACAATAACTTGTTTACCCAATTCAAATAAATGATCTACGCTGGGGAAGATACCATCTTTCTCGTTCATTATACTTTCAAAAGTTGTTTCAAAAGATTACAAATGAGCTACAAGAAAATAATCACCCAAGTTCTCAAAAATAAACTCATTTTCTATCCAAGTGTTTCCCAATCTCTCTAACTTTTTATATATGAATTATACAAGTCCAGAGTGTTTAGAAGGGTTTTTGAATCCCCCTTACATATTTCTAAGGGTTTTACGAATTTCAATAACACATTTTTAGAAACTCCCGCCTTTCTAAGGTTACCTGTTAAGAAATGTGGTTTGACCTAACTCAACCCTACAAAATCTCTTTGTAGGGTGAGGATTGCCCCCACTTATAAAGACATGTTCATGCAATATATTGTCCGATGTGAAACTCTTAACACATACCCTCACGCCCAGAACTAGATATCTGGAGCATGAAAATAAATGGTGGGTGACCCGATAGTGGAAATATGATAGCCAATGTTAAAAAATGTGGTTGGGTCTAACTCAACCCTACAAAACCGGCTTACGCTCTATATAAACTTTTTCAATCCTCTATCTTCAACCAATGTGAGATTTAGGATTTTTGCAATACACTCCTAACGTCCAACATTCTTTTGAATTTGGTGCATGGATATTAACGATGGGCGACCTATGGTCCGATTGATAGCCTTGGATACCATATTAGAGTTTGAATTAACTAATCCTTACAAAACCGATTTGTAAGGTGAAGGGTGTCGCCCTATATAGACTTTTTCAATGCTCTATCTACAATCAATGTGAGACTTGAGATTTTCCCAATATTACCATTAATCTGTCTTTAACTCTCAAAGTTTTGAAGGTTATTAAGACAAGAATGATGGAGATACATGTTTATAAATGTTGAAACCCATCAAAAATTTATCCAACTCAAAACACAACTCATTAACAAATTGATCTCCAAACCAAAACCACCATGTTCGATATATAAAACTGCCTATACTGGATCCGATATCCAATAGATATAAATCACTACCCATAACCAACTTAAATTGTCGTTGTTTACCAACCACCGTCGACCATTTGAACTCAACCACATGCTCGATCCGCTCGGGCTCATCGGGCCACCATACAATGAGAAATTCCAAACTAATTTTTAATTTCTACAATGTTAAAATATATTTTTTTTCATCATTAATAAGAAAGAATTTAATATAGTTTTTAAATCAACCCAGTTAGTTTTGAAATTTATTGTTTTAGAGTATTATAAGTCATCCTTATACACCTCACATTAACCTTCCTAGAACAATATGGAAAGACGCGTTGAAAGGAAAAAGTGTTTACAAATTCATTATGGGGACAAGTTGTCTCTAAAGTAGTACTATGAATGGAGTTGTTCTTGAAAAAAATATGAACAGAGGAAAGTTAATTGTCAATCATCGCTAGAAGACTTTTTGTGCACTTTCCTACAATCACGTGTATGATTAGAGAACAACAAAGTTACAAGATAATAAAACTGTCACTCCTTAATTCTCATGTGAAAATGAGAACATTGGAGCTTCTCAATCTCAACATTTATTCAACATATTTCCTTATTTATACATGACACATTGTTTCCATTTTTCTATGTATATAAAAAACATTTTGTTAAGTATCCATATTCCCCCCACCTTTTCCTGCTCAAAATTTATACCGAAAAAACAGTGATGACTAAAAAAGAGAAACATGGCATTTCAATTCAAGCACCAAGTGGGACCTACCTCACATGTTATAAGGTTAATGCGATCTAGAATAAGAAGATGAGAAAGGTGATTTACCAAACTTCCAACGAGCTTGCACGAGGCCAATTTCAGGATTATTGACGAGGAAAGGAATGGTTCGGCGAAGAAAATCAGGTTGCGGTTGAAAATCTGCGTCAAAGATAACAACATAGTCACATTGTGTCACGTAGCTGTGTTTCATTCCTTCTCTAAGAGCACCAGCTTTGTAACCATTTCTGTTGTCTCTAACTTCGTACTTTATGTTCACTCCTTTGTTTCCCCAGATATTGCATTCCACCTGCACCAACTCCTGCATTCACAATAAATTTTATTAATAACAAATAACACCGTCAACCTTTAAGTTATATATATATATATATATATATATATATATATATATATATATATATATATATATATATATATATATATATATATATATATATATATATATATATATATATATATATATATATATATATATATATATAATCAATTGAATTGATATTTGTATATTACAAGTAAGAATACGAGTTCAAACATACAACACTATAGAATAAAAGTATATATATTTAGAGTGAGACTAATAGTTGAGTTAAAGAAAAAAAAATTTGAGTGATGTCATTTCAATTTCTTTAGTAAAATAAATATTACATCACATTATTTGTGAGTTTATAAATTAAAAAGATTAATACTCGAATGAGAGAGTTGAATTAAAAATTAAAAAAAAAAGAGAAAAAATTGACGGTCTCAAATTTAAAATAAAACAATTATAAAATGTGATTGTGATCCTACTTATAGTGACCATCTCACTTTAGTCTATATTATAATTTCAAATATTAAACTATCTTTCCTACTTTTAAGATTGATCTAAATGATTCTTTTATTAAGAGATCGTGCATTAGAAAGAAATGTGTGTTTCTTAGATCTACAATGTTATTTTCATGGAAATTATTTTTTTTTTTTATAAAAATTTATTAATGTACAAATATCAATATCTTATTTACAATAATAATTATAAAAAGTACAAAAAAAATTATTTGCAAACATTTGAATACTGTCTGAACTAAATTTTACTCTCTCCGTACCAGTTGATGGGAAAAAAACACTCATTTTTTAAATATAAATTATAAACAAAAAAATATTTTATTTTATTTAACTATTTTATTCTAAAAAATTCGTGTTTTTCTAAAATAAAGTTAAATATAAATTATATTTAATTTATTTTTTTCTATAAACAACAACTAATCAAATTTATTTGTATATCTTTTCATAAAATATATTTTTTTTAAAACATAAAAATTTAAACTTTTTTAAAATATGGGAAATATTAGTTTTCTTTTTTTTTTTTTTAAATTATCAGAAAAATTATATTCCTATAGCACAAGACCCACCACACATAAAGAAGGAATCAGCGACAGAGTTTTATTGTACGCTTGTTATTATGCATATCATATAAACAATAATATCCTATTTATATATATATATATATATATATATATATATATATATATATATATATATATATATATATATATATATATATATATATATATATATATATATATATATAATGTTATTAACACTTTCTCTGTGTCAAAAAAATTGTTCTGTGTAAAAAAAACAATTGATTTCACTTTCCAGTTCCAGTGACATTTGATTGGGCAAACAAAATCTCCACTAGACATGACACATGTCTATGATGTGGAATCATTATTGTGATATAGAAAAAGTTAAAAACAAAAACACTATTTTGTCACAGAAAATATAACAAATGAATCCGAATCTAAAACGCTTAATGGCCTTACAAACTTGTGAATCTTAATGCTCTATCTTGTACTGTACTATTAGATTCGAATTTGGATTTTAGGAATGTTCACAAAATTATAACTTTGTAAGATCCAAAGGGAAATAAAAAATGTGGCTATTCTTTGTCGTGAGAGAAGATGAAAAAGGGGTTTTGTTCATAATAAAGTCAAAGGTTCTTGTTAGATTAGGTTAGAAGCTCATAAACACCGCAACTCTCAAGAAGTGTACGGTGTCCAACGCATAAATTCGATGGACCAATCTCACGCTAAACTAACTGAGCCATTTAAACCAATGCGTGTTCAACTAATGGTTTTTAAATTACATTGCAATTACGGTATGATGTAATTGCTTAGCGTACTCTATCAGTGGTATTACGACAGCAATTGCAATTTTTGACTGCAATTTAAAAACATGAACATAAACATTTTTTTTATATATTAAGGATTGAGAAAATATGTATTGAAACATAGATAATACCTTGATAGTTGGGTCAGTTGAATCATCAAGAATTTGTATGATGAGTCTATTAGAAGGCCAAGATAGTCCACTTGCAGCACCAATTGATAACTGATAGACCTACATTTATATACTCTTATATTATATTCATAGACCGGAATTTACACTCTCAAATTCATTGAATAACTTATATATCTGATCAACATATAAATCAAATATATTAATTATTATTGAATGAATATGACGTGATGATGTATATTTATAAAAAAGTTCACATAACGAGTATTCAAAGATTTACCTCTCCTTCATTATACATTGGAATTTGAACAAGAACCATTGGATAATTAGAGTTTCCCAACTCAACATCATCCACAAAACACTCCCATTTATAACGCTTCTCTGGTTTTCTCCCAAACAACTTCACCAAACAAATCGAAACTCCCATGTAAACTTTATCAAAGAGCATCATTATCGACATGCCTAGGCACAAAAACACTGCAACTCTGAGCATTGGCACAATCACTGGCTCTCTAATTTTCCTCCAAATGAACTCAATTTGCATTCCAATTCCTTCGTTCACTACTTCAAATGCCTCCATTTTTAATTATGGAAAAGACAATGACACACTTGGTTGAAATGAAACCAGATCTCAAAACATACTTATATTGTTGTGTGAAAGTCAAGACCAGAGCAAGGAAAATAAAGAGTTGAATAAACAAAAAGATGTAGAGGATGAGTTTGTGGGGTATCAACACTAGTACGAGGACAACTAGACTAAAGAATGTGTTGTACATAAAAAATAAAATAAAAAATCTACGATCTACAATACAATGTACTACAATATAATTTGTCATGTGGTTTCATTTGTAGTTGTTTGTAGTCATTGTTTATTTTTATTTTTTATGCTTAATAATTGTTTATTTAATTTTTTTTTGTTTAATAATTGTTTATTTAATTTTTTTAAGTTATCAGTCAATCACAATCCATCATTAAATATTTTTTACTTTTAGTTTAATTATTTTTGTATTTTTATAGGAAATATCTTCGTTTTTATGGACATTGTTTTTATGTTCTTTTATTTTGTATGATTTTCCTTTTTTTTAATAAATATATTACTACTTTAGACTTTATAAAAATTATTATATTCAATAAAATTTATTGCGTTTAAAATCGTATGAATTTCTCAACGAATATTTCATATGGTTAGATAGTTACATCATACACGTGTCGATCAAAGAAAGAGCTCCTTTCCTTTGCCAAAAAAATGTGTATTATTATGAAAACATTTAAGCCAAATATATGTTTCTATTAGGAATTATTATTCAAAAAATTTGGGAATTTGTTATTCATATCATATAATATTATCATTTAACTAATACTTATCACTCATCATACTATTCCCTCCGGTTTGTTATAAGACTTCTATAAATACTACTAATAAAATTATAAAAGAAAAAGGATTATTTTAATAATTAATAATATAATAAAAAAGAGAATATTTTTTCAATTATTCATTTTATAGGGTCATTTTATAAATTAGTCAATAAATATAAAATAAAATAAAAATGATCTTATATTAAAGAAAAAAAATAAAAAGTAGATTTTATAATTAAAGATAGTAATATACAAAAAGAATATTTTTCATTGAAAACATTGAATTTTTTCTTTTATATTGAAACATTGAATCTATTTCTTGTTAAGTCCTTATTTATTTGTAAATATTTTTTTATTTTTTTATTGATTAATACCTTTTTTTTTTCTCACATATTATAATGAGTTTACATCTTAAAACTTCTTACTGATCTACCGAAGAAAAAAAAAGACAAAATTATACATGTGCATCAAATAGACGTGTTATTCTCAAGGGTTGGTTTAGTGGTGGAGACTTGAGTCTTGAGAGTGTGTTCATCTCAAAGTCTCATATTCAAATTCTATTAGATGCAATCAACCCTTGTGTAGGTCAGTCCATACGAAGCTTTGTTCTGCCTTTAAACGAAGTCCCCCGCTACTGGACGGTGGAATTGGTTCCTCTTAGATTAGTTGGTCGCAAGATTTCTAAAAAAATAAAAATAAAAATAGACATGTTATTATATATAAAATAAAGGATTTTTTAATTTATTTTATAAGTTTCTTAGCCACCACACAAAAATACATAAATACTTATAGATTTCTGAGATATGTCGTATCAAAAAATCAGTTAACGTTAAAATATTTCGGAGGTGTATCTCCAAAATATTTTGGTGGTTAAATTGTGTCAAACCCTTCTCCTTCCTCATTTTTCATTTTACAAAGTCTCTCAATTTTTTTCTTTACATCAATGTAACAACCATATATAATACATGTCTAGAATTACATATTATACATAGCTTTAATGTTGTTATTGAAATACACAAGTGCCTAGTGGCGATGTTGTACATATTACATGGTTAAAAGAAACTACAACTATGGCACAATATATACAAGGGGTACCCAAAATAAAACTAGAGACTAGATCATTATAAAATGATCTCAAAAACATTTACACAGCGGAAAAACCCATCTAAAACATCAAACAAGCAAGGACATCAATCTATCTTGTCCTTACCATTCACCTGCTCAGAACTACCTGAAAAATAATCAACAACATGGGGTGAGATAATAATCTCAGTGGGATCCATATCTTAAGGGTCCACTCGACTCTACAAGGTTCTAATCAAAATCTAACTCAAGTCACAAGGGGAAAAATACTTAAGTTCATAAAACTCACAATGTATGGAAACACGCCACTTGAGTTCATAAACTCAAACAATCACTAATCGGAAACCAAATCAAGGTACCTTTCCTCTGCAAACCCTACGTCTAGATTTATCGACTCGGTTCACGGATCCTTATATCATACTTTAACATATGCATGGACTTCGGATTCTAAGTGACAACATCCACTTCGAGAATCATCGCTTCCTATGGGACTCCAAACCTATAACACCCTTCTAAGCCCCCACAGAATAATACGTCATAAATCAGAGTAAGATAACATGCATCTCAAATAAGGGTGTCACATATAATTCAAACATCACACATACACCTGTCATGCTCGATAACACTTAAATTAAATTCATGTTTTTCATACACTTTCACATAGCATGTAGTAGCGGAATCACTTTCATTCATAACAAACATAACTAAATAGTCTCATAAATAACTCATTCATATCACCACTTAGGCATGAAAGTCAAAACTCCACATAATTTAAATAACGATAGCAAAATAAAATAGAGTACATAAAATATCTCTCAAAACATGAATCAAAACGTTCCCAGTGTTACATGACCAGATTATGTCTCGAATCAAAATAAATAAGAAAAATAAAGCAAGCAACTCCAACAGCTACCCTCGTGCTAGAAGCAACGCTACTCTTCAGTACCTGAGCAATGTCGTATAAACCATCATTCCAACAAAAGGGTGAAAATTCACATAATTATCGAAATCATATAATAATATATAATACATAGTATACATGCATAGCATAATTATTTTCACACTCCAAATGCTTTATAAACATAGCATCACTCAAGCAACCATACTATTCATAATTACATACTCACAAATCCATAATTTCACTAATTCATCAAATTCACATAATGCACGTAATCTCATATTGCAATCATAGACAAATATGACTCAATGTACTCAAATGCAATACTCATGCATGTGGTACCAATCCTTGTTATTATTTTTTAGTTTTTACATTAAATCGGGTTCGTCCTCTAGACCAATAACACACAAAATCCTGTCCTCTAAGCTTCAAACCTCTCTCTAGGTTTGGGACAAGTCACTAGTTCCCACGGAACTAACAAGCATTGTCTCTTGACTACAATGATGCATGTGCAAGTTCAACAATCATATGATGATGGTTGTTGCTTCGTGAGGATGGCTGCGAATGGTTTTTCGGGTGATTTGCTAGTGATAATGGTTTAGGGTTTTCGTTCCTGTAGCCGCCCCCCCCCCCCCCCTTTGATGCCTTTTTCGAACTCTGTTATACCGTTTTTTAAATCTTCTTTTGCTCGTCTTGGGCTTGGATCGAATCTGCTTTTGGAAACTAATTTACGTTTTTTTTGTTGATGGAATCTGGGGATTTGATTTGGCTTTTGGAATTGCTGGATACGGATTTGGATCTGATTTGAATGATTGGGTGATTTTTTATATCCATTTTTTGGATGTGGATTGGATATGGTCTGGATTTTGGCTGAGATACGGATCTGGTTCTGTTTACAGATTTGGATTTTGATCTGGACTTCCTTAAGGATCTGTTTGGCTGAAAAATCACTTTTTCACAAAAAAAACTCTTTTTCCTCTCTCTCTCTCTCTCTCTCTCTCTCTCTCTCTCTGTCTCTCTCTCTCTAAGAACAGATGATTGTCGGATTTACCGAGGTCGGGAAATGGAGTTGGGAGCTGGTGGCGACCTTGTCGTTGTTTCCCTTCCAACACGCATGATGATGATAACTTGTTGAGGGTGTCAGAATAATTAAAAACCTTTTTGATGCGATTTAATTCTAACCATATGACGATTATTTTCATGTCGTTCTCTGTTTTGCAGGTTCGAAGATCGATGATTGAAGATTCGGACGTGAAGAGCTCTTAGGAAAAGCTAGGGACTTTTAGGACCATTTAGGATTTAATCTGTAATTCAACAAGTGTAACTATTCCGAAAAATGTTGTAACAAAAGTTGTATAGAAATTGAATAATTAAATCCTTTCAATAAAATGAGTTCTTATTTTCTGACTCTGATTCATCTGCATTAAATTTAACGTTTCAACATTCGAATTCGACAACTAAACATCTTGCCATTATATCCAATGCAACTTCTGAGTTCAAACAAAATCCTTTGCAAATTAAATCGTACTCCATAATAAAATTGGAAAATGCGGCCTTGAACAGATAAACAGAGAAATTCAATTAAACGGCGAAACGACTATCTTTCGCATTGAAAACTCAAATCGCATCCCGAACGATTTAATTTGGTAACCTGAATCAGCTCGACTAATAATCATTATCAAACCAAAGGATGTTCATTATAAATTCAACAACATTTCTAAAATCCACCTGACGACTAAATCTCGACTAATAATTTGGTAACCTGATATCTCAACACATTCAGCTCCATATAGTTTAGGAATCAAACAACATTTCTAAAATCCACCTGACGACTAAATCTCGACTCTTGAATAAAACGTGTTGTGTCACGAGAAATCTGACGTCAAAACTGCCGTAAAAATCAGCTCATCCTCAAATAAGTCACATGACTCGGAGATGGAAACCCTAATCGCTCGAGGGATCCTTGCGAACGACTCAGCTTCATAAATTGTCAGTGGGTTGTAAATTAATGACCATTTTCCCCTTCATAAACTAAAGAGCGCACAATGTGATTTTTCCTGCAAAACCAACAGACTGAGCAAACTGGTTAGCGGTTAGTTTACAACGCAGTGCAAAATGAGATGAAATGCAAAATGAACCGGCTAATCTAACGGTAAAATTTGGGGTATGACAGTTGCCTCTATTTAAATAGCTTCACCGGATGATTTGAGCAACGAAGGCTCGAGAAATCATGGTGAAAGGGA